CCGATGATCAGGAGATGAGAAACCCAACACATGGCACAATGTATGTGAGGTTTGAAGAGGAAAGTTCTGAAGAGGAGAAAGTGGTTGGAAAATGCTTTGTGTCAACTGGAGCAGATAAATCTCCTATAACTTCGAAGGTACATGCTCTTATTGAATCTTTTAACATTCCTTCTAGTTCGAAGGTACATGCTCTTATTGAATCTTTTAACATTCCTTCTAGTTCTTACCATAATGTTTTATCTGACTTCGATGATAATATTTTTTATGTTAATGACATGATTATTTTTGTTAGTAGCGAAGCTGAGAAGTCAAAGTATTTGTTTCTAGATACACAGAAACATTTGGAGTCTAAGAGAAGTCAAATAGATATTCTAGAGCTACTGTGACATCCCCATTTTCACGGGCATAAAAGATCGAATTTTGTTTATGCTTTATAAAAATCAGAGTACCTCTTTTAATAAAAATGTTATGGAATTTGATCCCAGTAAAACATGATAAATATGTTATCAAGCCATTTCTGAAGAAAAGCATTTTTATTCATTTTAAAACATTTGCGATGTCATCGTCAATACAGAAGCATAAGCATAAACAAAACTTAGATTCATTATCACTAGTGATTTATAAATCCTTAATCTCTCAGTGTAAGGTGACTTCATATCAACACTTCTAATATAAATAAACTGAGTGGGTCAGGTTGGGAAACCTGGTGAGTACATAGGGTTTTCAACGCACAATAATATAATTATTATGTTTAATCATCAAACAATTAACCCAATTACCCATCCCCATTATCTTCATTACTCTTAAGGATTTACACTAAGAATTAGCTATTCCTCGTTCATTCTTTCCTAAGGATTATCCAAAGGAATAGGCATGAAATCCATCGTTTCCAGGGTTTACTCAACAGGCACTAAATCCATAGTTGCTAGGGTTTACTCATCAGGCACTAAATCCATAGTTTCCAGGGTTATCTCGTTTATCAACAGTATCGTTTCTGAGAATCCACATGCAAGAATCCACAATATTGTTTCCAAGAATCCACTCGTAATACATGTTAATGGGGTTTTAGAGTACAACCGGTGAATACACTGTTCAAATAACACCTACAAGTTGCGAGCCTGCTAGTTTTCCACTGGACTGTCTATAATAGTTCGTGGTTATCATCCATACTCTGCTAGATGACGAGGCCAACACTTAGGAAAAAGACTTCTCTCATGGTTCACCTCTCATCCTTATCTCATGGTCTATATCACCTCTCATCATTTTATTTTTGTCACAAAGCAACTATTTCATCTACCCATGTTTTACCCAACACATTTTGTAGATATAAAATACATACATAGTTTAAATCATTTAAAACATGTATTAAAAAATCTTTCACCCAGCATAGACGGCAAGTATACAGACAATATGCATAGATAGCATGTAATATATATTAAATATTTTATATTTATGTGTAAGATGAAAGTAACTATGCACTCACTTGAAAAGGTGGTGACTCGGCACTCGGACAACACATCAATACTCTTAACACAATTTTCCTTTGACAAAACCTAGTATCATTACCACTAGAGTTTAGTCTAATATTTACTGATATTAATTACTAGTCTTGCTATTATTACTATTATATAAGCACGAAACAATATTTCTCAACCACTATATACTGACAGGGGCTAGACATAAAACACTGGAGGGTAGGACCATTTTGGCATATAACACTTCTGAAATCCAACAACCCTATGCGGCCCTTTAAACCAGATTCCCCATACTGTGAGTGGTTAAAATATATAATAACAACACTTATATACCTCATAATAATATCCTAAATACTTATTATAAGGTCCTAGTAACATTACTATATTAAAACATAAGATATACTAACGATAGGTAGGTGTAGCTTACTTACAGTGGGTTTTTGCAAAACCAGGCTTCGGTGGAGCAGCATTCTGGAGCCTAAAGGCTCTTTTCTTAGGGATTCGGGAGCCTTGGGGCTTCCTACGGGTGCTAGGGGGTTTACCTCGACTTTAGGGGGCTTAAGGGAGGCTAGAGAGAGAAAGTGGAAAAGGAAAGGTATGAGAATGAATGGAACCCGATAGCTCCTCGCCAATTTGGTCCACTGGCTCGCCAATTCAGTGCCATGTGTCATCATCCGATGGCTTTCCTTGGAGAGAAAGCAACGACTGTTATCGCGCCACGTCACCCAAACTCGCATCGCACCCTCCTGACTTAGAAAAATCATAACTCTCGCATATGAGCTCCATTTTGATGTTATTTTTTTCCACACGTAGGTAAAAACAAGATCTACAACTTTTTTTTGGACTCTGTTGGCTAATTCTCGACCGATCTTAAATTTAATAGTACGAAGAGATTAGACTATTAAATGACCACGAAAAATTCGTACCTCCTTCATATGAACTCCGTTTTTGTCTGTCTTTTTACCGTTGATTTCCTATTAATGAGATATTTAACTCTCATTTAGGTTGCGTAAGCCAAAAACCGCTCGAACTAAAATTCGAGTTTCGGGTCGTGCACTGTTAAGCCAAATCTTAGAAAATTCATAATTTCCTCATACGAAGTCACATTTGGGCGTTCTTTTTTATATGTTCTCGGCTTAGTGTATACTATAACTTTGGTTTATATCACTAAGGCTAAAAAGTACTTTATCAAAAATTCACTATTTATGTCTCCCGTTGTGATGTCGGTTTTGCTGTAAGACTTCGACGGGCCATAACTTTTTCGTTATAACTCAGATTTCGGCATTCTTTATATGTACAGAACCCTTGAGACATATTGAACAACTTCATTAAGATTATTTATTCTAAATAATCTTTTGTCGAAAAGTCATTTTCGACCCCTATTATCTTTTAATTGACTACCCGGATCTATTAGCGTTACAGCTACAACTAAATAATATTTCTCTAGATAGGGAGTTTGTTACGATAGAAAATGTTATGTTGATGAAACAAATAATCATTTACTATAACTGTGTGAAACGATTTTATACTAAACTAACTGCTCTTCATCATTTATCTGAAATTAGCAAAGAACAACAAAGGAACCTGTTGTCTTTCTTGGTTTATGAATGGGAGAAAATCGATACAACTTCTTATGACTGTGAGAAAAAGATATTTAAATTCGATGTAGCATTTTTCTTCGATGTTTAACTGGTAGAAGCTCTGATCTCAATAAAGCAAAGTTGGATGTCTACCCAATGATTGCAGGTCTATACTATAATCTCAACGTGGATTATGTAGCTCAGTTGTTGGAAGAGCTCTGAATAAGTATTTATCATACCAATGTTATGCATAAGTATCATGTGCTAGGTATTGAAGTTTGATTCTCAAAGCAGTGTATAAGAAAGAGGGGATTTTGGTACCATATGACGTTTTCAAGGCTAAGTTTTCAACATATCAGCATCCTAAAGTTGTTCCTGATGATCCTGTGTTATTTCCCACTGTGGCTCGTATTCCAGATGCCATGTTGAAAAAAGTTGATCCTGCTCATCCAATTCTTGCCAATTATTTGTCAACAATTAACCCAGATGTGCAAGTAGGAGTTTTGTTACCAAAATGGTAAGAAGGCACCTCGAAGGTCACTAAAGTTTCGAAAAAAATCAAAGAAGTCTGACCAACCACTGTTTGTTCCTAACCCAATAGAGCATGAGATTAAATAAGTTGTCCCTAAGAAAGTTGAAAAAGAAGTTTCGAAGGAGGTTATTCCATCAAAATCAGGTATTTTAAGACGCACTATGAAGCTTGCTCACTGTCCTAGACACTCTCCTGAACTACCAGTGATTGAAGAACTTTCTGTTGAACCATTGACTTCACCATTAGAAGGATCTATTTCAAAGATCATAAAAATTCAAAAAAAAAAAAAAAAAAAAAAAAAAAAAAAAAAAGCAGGAGAGTGTCTAGGACAATGAGCAACTTTATGGTGAACCATTGTCTTCACCAATCAAAGGGGTGTTCGAATTCGCAATGTTCCAGTTCCAATATCACCAGCATCCAAGAAACAAAAAGCTCAAGATGTTGTTAAAATTATTAAAAAGAAGAAGAATCAGTTGGCAGATCCTCTTGATGAGGTTTTTCATGAAACAAATTTCAAAAGTGGAAGTGATAGATTTCCAATTCTTCTAGATATTGGATTGGACTTTGAGACACTGCAAAGGCACTCTCTGGTTAAGTCGACCTTCAAGGAGACTGGAAGTCTTGGTGGCACTATACACGTATCTCATACGGATATAACCACTAATTTGGGTGAATCCCCAACATCTACTATCCCTGCGAAGACATTTGTCATACCAGTCGAGGTCTCTATGACTGAATCTATTTCAAAGGAGGTTCGAACCTCAGGTATCCATGTGTATATATCTAATATGGACACAAATGTCAATATGGGTGAAGGGATGACCCAAAAAGTAGCTCTAAGGACCTTTTCTAGTTGAAACCTCTTATATTTCTGCATCACTCATTCTATCTTCTGCTATCGAAACTACTCTTATCAACACTTCCACTTCTTTAGCCCCGTTCGTTTGTCACATTCCCACTTCATTACCTGCTTCTAGCATTTCACCCACTTTTTCAAATATCATGCATCAACCCATTACTTCATTTTTCTCTTCCCAGTCCACTGAAGGGGAAAAGTCCATTCCAGATGATGATTAAGATAATGATGATGTGATGGTATCATTTGTAGAGATTTAGTCTAACCCTGAAGAAGATAACATTCCTAATCATAAGTTGAATTCTTTGTTGCAAATTCAGACTGATACATTGGGTTGAATTTCAGTGTCTGGGATTTAGGTGGATGTGATGATTAAGTCACAAGAGCATCGTTTAAAGTTTTCTATGGAACATATTGAAACGAAACATGAAGAGTGACTAAAGCATCATGTTGAAAATTTCCAATTTGAGGTGACCCAGCTTCGTGAAGTTTCCAAAGGGCGTTATATATTGTTTGTTAAAGAAGTGAAGAAAGTGGAGGAATCAGTCAATCTCAAAATGGAGGAACTCAAGTCCGAAATGTCAAAAGAGGTGGCCAAAATCAAACAAAATTATACAATTCTTCATCGCAAGATGGATGTTCTTGTTGACGTAATCAAGAATTTCATAGAAGATAAATAATACATTGTTCTCCACCAAACTTGAGGCCAAGGCGAAATCAGATTCGAAAGTGTTTGACAAGCTAGAGGAGTTTTTGGTTAGTTTAATGGAATCCTTATCGAAGCTTGATTTTCTCAACAATCTGCATTCTCTCCAGATTCGATTTTCGAATATAATTTCCTCTCTTGAATTGAATCTTAAAGCAGAACTTGCTCCTCTTCGCCAGGTAGTTAATCTTATGCCAACGAATGTCCCACCTGTGAAACAAGTTGTGCAAGGTAGAGATAATGGGGTTAGCTCTTCGAAGTATTCTGATCAAGGTAAAGTGGTTGGGAAGGTGATACCAACTCAACTCTCAACATCACTTCCTGTTTCTCTAACAACCACTTCTACAACAACTACTTCGAGACCAATAACCAAAGGCATCATTATTGGAGAATCTGTTGGAGGATCGAAGTCAAGTTTAAAGCCACTATCTTCGAAAGAGGATAAAGGTGACAAAGGAAAGGGTATCAAGAAGGTAATTTCAGATGTAGAAAAAAATGTGGAAAAGGAAATGGAGAGACAAAGGAAAATAAATATGTCACACCCCGCTAAAGCGGAAATGCAATATATGACAGCGATAACGGTTTCATTGCAAAAGATAAAGATACACCACCATAGTAGTATTGAAAAGTTTACAACCCATAGATTAAAAGAAACAAAGTACAAGTTTTTCCAAAACAACATTGTTCAAAATATAACTTCATAATAGCTTAAACACGATGCAGCATGCTCTATGATGATGAATCTTTGCATCCACTTACTAATTATTTCCTAAAAAAAGCATGTAAAACGAGCATCAACTATGAAAATAGTTGGTAAGTTCACAAGTTTATAAATCGAGCTTGAATAAATCTTTTCATAAATACAAGTACATTGCTTTAATGAGAAACAAAGTTGATTGTTATTAATGAATACAAGTTTATTGCTATAACAAGAAACGAGTTTGTATGTGTATGAGCAAACAATGAGCCTCAACCAAACCTATGACTGAAGCCCTATCGAGATCTATACTTATCGTTCCATAGATGAATATGGTATCATGCACTCCAGCGATTCGGGCGAGTGAGGAGTTGTCAATTCCTAATAGCGCTATCCATAATGACCATTGGCTCAAAGAGTTAATCGTTAGAGATAAGGGAAGGGCCTTAGTACGATAAGTTCTCATGTTCCGTGTTGCATAGACATATATAAAGAAACATAGCAATACAATAGCAATCATGTTTGATAATAATCAATTTAAATACAACATGCAAACAATAGTTTTTCTGTACATGCTTTTCCACCCCAAAACATAAAAACTGAAAATAGGGGAGTGCGTGAATACTCACAATGTTTCGAGTAGATACAAGTAGTGTCTCGGAATGCACCAACGTCTTACTTCCGGGATCCTACGACATCAAACACACACTAGTGAGTTTTCATGTCGAAATCTAGTGCTAATATACTAAACTCTATATATAGTGAAATGCCAATTTATGTTTTAGTATTGAATTTTATATTAATTGATTACACTTTTTCTGAGATAATGAAATTCTACAAGTCGTGCGATTAATTATAACTTTGGAATATTAATTTTCCAGATTTAGTAATATAAATTAAAGGTATTTCTACACATTTAAAAGTGTTTTATATTCCTAAAAATGTAAAATATTATCAAACAATTTCCAAAATTTGTCAAACCTTGTATTTTCATTGTAAATACAATAGAGGTTTTCCAGAAAATTTTCCTTGAATTTTTAATATGGTTAATTATTTTTCAAATTTTTAAGTCTTCTTAACAACATAAATTCACGAAAAATAGCATTCAAAGGATAAAAATTCTCAAACTTTTTATTTAACTGCTATTACGCAATACTAAGCTGGGAAAATTATAAAAATGGATTTCCAAGCTATTTAATTATATTTTATGATTTTTGAGCATTTATTCCAAGAAAAATTGAAATAAATAGAAAACAGTTTCCTTGTTTTATTCCTTTAAATAATCATTAATTGAAGAAATAATATTAAACAATTAAAATAAATTACCAAAATTTTTTTTAACATTATTTAGAGTATAAATAACGTGGGAAAAATACCAAAAGTGGTTTTCATATTGTATAACCCGGTTTTGGGTATTTATGTGTATTTTAGTGTAATTAACTTTAGAAATTAAGAGAAAAATAGTTTACAGTGGAGAAAAATCCTCAAAATGTTTATGTAACCTCCAACTGTACAACATCATTTTCTGGTAAATTTTCATGAAATTTGGATAATCATAACTATTTTTCCTATTTTTATACCATTATAATTACCAAAAATTTGAAAAAATAGTAACGCATGATGAAAAATGTTAAAATTATTTTTATGAGTCACCCATCACAGGTAAGGTATGTGAAAATTGTTAGATACAATTTTCACACTCTCTATAGTGGTTTTGTGATTTATTATATCCTAACAAAAGAAAATCGGAAATCATACCAAACACCAACAAAAATTGATGAAATTTAGTGAGGTGTCATTATTCACCATAAGGGTAATCCATGAATTTATTCCGGATTTATTGACCTCTGGAAGTATTTTATGTGATTTATGCCCTTGGTTTCTAGCAATAATTTTAATAAATCAAATAAATAATAAAAGCTTTTCGTATTTTACAGATTATCAAATGCATGTGAGGGCTTTCAAAAGGAAAAATGTTCAAATTTTATTCAGAAGGGAAATAGGGGTATTGAACCCAAACAAGTTAAGAAATGTTGCATACAATGGTGCATGAGATATAAATGTGGCTGAAGTTTATGAATTTATGTAGCCCATTCAGTGGGGTTTTAAGCCACGAAACTTCAACCATCATTCACAACCTATAACTAACACTTACAAAGAAATTCTTTTTCAATCAAACATATTACTCGTATAATTAGGTCGGGAGTTGTATCATTGGACCTCGATTAAACATAGCCTGATCACCTATGTTTAATTAAGGCAAGGTTTATACAAAGTCTGAACTAATTATAATGGGAATATGTTCAACAAAATTTTTTGAGAAAACTTTATTTCAAAAATTTAAAAGGTTAATTTTGGTGTGTGTAAGCATTGCATATTAGAGGCATGCATTGTCATTTATTTCATATCTCAGTGAAACTATGTTACAATCCACTATGTCAACATCGTCATCTTCCCACGCTACCGCCTCAGCCGATGAGTCCGGCAACGTCACTATTATCCCTCGACGTAATCCCCCCGCCTCGCTATTATCAAACATGATTGTTATTGTATTGCTACGTTTCATTGCAAATACAATAGAGGTTTTCCAGAAAATTTTCCTTGAATTTTTAATATGGTTAACTATTTTTCAAATTTTTAAGTCTTCTTAACAACATAAATTCACGAAAAATAGCATTCAAAGGATAAAAATTCTCAAACTTTTTATTTAACTGCTATTACGCAATACTAAGCTGGGAAAATTATAAAAATGGATTTCCAAGCTGTTTAATTATATTTTATATTTTTGAGCATTTATTCCAATAAAAATTGAAATAAATAGAAAATAGTTTCCAAAATTACCCAAACATTTTAATTAACTGTTATTGTACATAAATAGGCTGGGAAAAATATAAAAGATATTTTTCAGTGGGTATTTCTATTTTTCCTTGTTTTATTTCTTTAAATAATCATTAATTGAGAAATAATATTAAACAATTAAAATAAATTACCAAAATTTTTTTTAACATCATTTACAGTATAAATAACCTGGGAAAAATACAAAAAGTGGTTTTCATGTTGTATAATCCGGTTTTGGGTATTTATGTGTATTTAAGTGTAATTAAATTTAGAAATTAAGAGAAAAATAGCTTACAGTGGAGAAAAATCCTCAAAATATTTCGTAACCTCCAACTGTACAACATCATTTTCTGGTAAATTTTCATGAATTTTGGATGATCAGAACTATTTTTCCTATTTTTATACCATTATTTTTACCAAAAATTTGAAAAAATAGTAACGCATGATAAAAAATGTTAAAATTATTTTTATAAGTCACCCATCACAGGTAAGGTATGTGAAAATTGTTAGATACAATTTTCACACTCTCTATAGTGGTTTTGTGATTTATTATATCCTAACAAAAGAAAATCGGAAATCATACCAAACACCAACAAAAATTGATGAAATTTAGTGAGGTGTCATTATTCACCATAAGGGTAATCCATGAATTTATTCCGGATTTATTGACCTCTGGAAGTATTTTATGTGATTTATGCCCTTGGTTTCTAGCAATAATTTTAATAAATCAAATAAATAATAAAAGCTTTTCGTATTTTACAGATTATCAAATGCATGTGAGGGCTTTCAAAAGGAAAAATGTTCAAATTTTATTCAGAAGGGAAATAGGGGTATTGAACCCAAACAAGTTAAGAAATGTTGCATACAATGGTGCATGAGATATAAATGTGGCTGAAGTTTATGAATTTATGTAGCCCATTCAGTGGGGTTTTAAGCCACGAAACTTCAACCATCATTCACAACCTATAACTAACACTTACAAAGAAATTCTTTTTCAATCAAACATATTACTCGTATAATTAGGTCGGGAGTTGTATCATTGGACCTCGATTAAACATAGCCTGATCACCTATGTTTAATTAAGGCAAGGTTTATACAAAGCCTGAACTAATTATAATGGGAATATGTTCAACAAAATTTTTTGAGAAAACTTTATTTCAAAAATTTAAAAGGTTAATTTTGGTGTGTGTAAGCATTGCATATTAGAGGCATGCATTGTCATTTATTTCATATCTCAGTGAAACTATGTTACAATCCACTATGTCAACATCGTCATCTTCCCACGCTACCGCCTCAGCCGATGAGTCCGGCAACGTCACTATTATCCCTGGACGTAATCCCCCCGCCTCGCTATTATCAAACATGATTGTTATTGTATTGCTACGTTTCATTGCAAATACAATAGAGGTTTTCCAGAAAATTTTCCTTGAATTTTTAATATGGTTAACTATTTTTCAAATTTTTAAGTCTTCTTAACAACATAAATTCACGAAAAATAGCATTCAAAGGATAAAAATTCTCAAACTTTTTATTTAACTGCTATTACGCAATACTAAGCTGGGAAAATTATAAAAATGGATTTCCAAGCTGTTTAATTATATTTTATATTTTTGAGCATTTATTCCAATAAAAATTGAAATAAATAGAAAATAGTTTCCAAAATTACCCAAACATTTTAATTAACTGTTATTGTACATAAATAGGCTGGGAAAATATAAAAGATATTTTTCAGTGGGTATTTCTATTTTTCCTTGTTTTATTTCTTTAAATAATCATTAATTGAAAATAATATTAAACAATTAAAATAAATTACCAAAATTTTTTTTAACATCATTTACAGTATAAATAACCTGGGAAAAATACAAAAAGTGGTTTTCATGTTGTATAATCCGGTTTTGGGTATTTATGTGTATTTAAGTGTAATTAAATTTAGAAATTAAGAGAAAAATAGCTTACAGTGGAGAAAAATCCTCAAAATATTTCGTAACCTCCAACTGTACAACATCATTTTCTGGTAAATTTTCATGAATTTTGGATGATCAGAACTATTTTTCCTATTTTTATACCATTATTTTTACCAAAAATTTGAAAAAATAGTAACGCATGATAAAAAATGTTAAAATTATTTTTATAAGTCACCCATCACAGGTAAGGTATGCGAAAATTGTTAGATACAATTTTCACACTCTCTAAAGTGATTTTGTGATTTATTATATCCAAACAAAAGAAAATCGGAAATCATACCAAACAGCAACAAAAATTGATGAAATTTAGTGAGGTGTCATTATTCACCATAAGGGTCATCCATGAATTTATTCCGGATTTATTGACCTCTGGAAGTATTTTATGTGATTTATGCCCTTGGTTTCTAGCAATAATTTTAATAAATCAAAGAAATAATAAAAGTTTTTCGTATTTTACAGATTATCACATGCATGTGAGGGCTTTCAAAAGGAAAAATGTTCAAAATTTATTCAGAAGGGAAATAGGGGTATTGAACCCAAACAAGTTAAGAAATTTTGCATGCAATGGTGCATGAGATATAAATGTGGCTGAAGTTCATGAATTTATGTAGCCCATTCAGTGGGGTTTTAAGCCACGAAACTTCAACCATCATTCACGGGATATGTTAAGTTTATAAAGTATTTTTCCCCAGATTTATGGTTGGGTTTAAGGATATTGATCATGCAAGGCAAAAATGGTGATCATAGAAAAAGAGCTGTTTGCGCAACCATTTTGTAAAAACTGCCAAAAGTCGGATATTTAATATTTTACAGTGAGACCAGTTGGGTTTGAAAGTTAACTCGTGGAATTATCCAATACAAAAAGAATATCACGATTTGGTTAAGAAATGACCGAGATATGGTCGTTCAAAACTGAATAAAGTAATCTGGCAGATTGCATGTTTGCTTTGAGTGCATCCTTAGGACATTTTGACAAGAACATCATGCATGCCTTTGATAAGGTCTGATTTCTAGCACATGCATGGAGTGAATGAGCATCCAAGATGTACTAGAAATGGTTTAAATGCTTTTGATCATGCAAGAAC